AAGTTGATCCGCGCTAATGATGTTACTTTTGGTGTTGATGAAAATACATTAYACGTTATTGATACAACTATTGGCACAAATGAATGTACATTTTCTGTTAATGAACGGCAAAAGGTGTATACCTATTTACGCTTTTGTTCCTCTTGAGTACGCACCACAAATACATTGCTTGGACTGCCTGTGGTAGATGGTGACTCGTATTAGGCTTCCTGTGTAATAGAATATTGCACCACAGTTTGCAAAACTATCTGTCAAAGTTAGCGTCTCCAGGGTCAAAAAGGTTTCTTTTTCGGCCTTTGAATTATAGTAAAGCAAGCCATCGATAAAGTAAGTAGTACATAAGAATATGCTTCGAATTAAGAGCATTGGGGCGGGAATATGGAGCAAAACTAGTTAATATTTTACACCGTTGTTACTATATTTTGCAGGCGATTTAGCTTGGCGTCTGAAGAACGCTGAAGAATATTGTAATATTAATAAGCCGTCACTGCACTATTCCTTGGTTTATATACTCAAAATGGCAGCTACTATGAGGGCTCCAAGCCCATTTAAAAGGATGATGAGTTATGAAGAGCCGAGAGACAGAAGTAATACCAAATCTCCGGTAAACGGAGTGTGCAATGGTGGAATCCATTCACCGGTCCCGGCGAAGACAGACGAAGATGAAGAAAAAGCTAAAGAAACCACCACTGTAGAGCCGGTTGAAGTTAAAATATGGGGAACAGCTCGGCAAAAATTAACTATAGTTTGCTTGGCTGTAGTTTATTTCGCTACCTGTGCGGCGTTTTCTGTACTCTCGCCATTTTTTCCTAAAGAGGTACGTCGAATTTGTGTTTATTATACTTTGGAAGCACATAAATGCGCTGAAGGTTCCATTGTTTCATTTATAAATCAAGAAGCCGCTTCGTCTTTATTTTACTGCATCGTGGATTACAAATTGAATTAATTCAACGTAAACTTTACCATAAATTTTAGTCTTTTCCAAAAAAAGACTAGTGTTTTTTGTATCTATTTAACCAAGAGAATATGAAGTTCTCTTGTATTTACTTAATAGGCTTTCTTAATTTGTGGTAATATCTGTTTACGTTATTACGTAACCTCGATAATTAAGCCCAATTATTCTTCAAATTGAAACAGTTAATGTAATGTTTATTTTATGTTTTAGGCAGCAAATAAAGGAGCTAGTGGAACTGTTATTGGTTTAATTTTTGGTGTCTATTCTCTGGTATCTTTCTTGGTTTCTCCATTGATTGGTGTTATAGTAAGTTAATTTATAATAATACCTTTAAATCTAATGATTTTTTATAATTTATTAAATATATCTGGTATTGCATTACATGCATCCTTAAGAATATAGATATACTCAATACTTCATTTTACAGTTCCGTTCCAAGCCGAGGCTGGAGTTTCCGCTCATGATAAAAAGTATAGTTTTGCTATGCGTGGAAACTGCAGCCTCGACTTGCAACTATTATTCGTGGTCACTCGAACAGAACTGTAAAATGGAATATTGAAGAAAAAGTTGTCGGGTTCAGAAACATAGAACATAAAAGCTGAGACCGAAATGGCACATGGGAAATGACATAATTATATTATAATTTATTCATTTGTGCCATCCATGCAGTCGGTTTAGAATGCCAAACGTGTATTAAAAACAGTGGATGATGCCACGGGTCGCCGGTCACAGCATGCATCTAATTAACATACTTCCCATGTGCCATTTCGGTCTCAGCTTCTATGTTCTATGTTTCTGAACCTGACAACGATTCTTCAATTGAGTGTATATACATAATATTGCAGAGCATTCAGTATGCATGTAATTTCGATATCACGTAGGTGTAATCTTTTTCTTTGCATGCTAATGAACCATATGTTATATTCTAATTTCTTGTTGTTTTAAGATTCCTAAGGTTGGTGCTCGTTTTACTATCACTTGTGGGTTGTTACTAATGGGAGGTTCTGAATCACTGTTTGGGTAAGTCAATCAAAATATTGATGACAATTTATTTTATTTCATAATTTTTATGTATTCATTCAACATTTCTGAGGGGTGGGGGGTCAGAGAGAATAAAATTACAAAGTTGATATAATAATAATAATAAATTACATTTATAAAGCGCAGATTAGCACAAGATGTTCATCTGCGCTGAATACAGAAACAATACACAATAACTAGAAACTTAAAAGCTAAGTTAATCAATGGGAATTGCAAAAACAACTAAATAAAGGCTTTTCTATAAAAACATGTCTTTAAGTGTTCTTTAAAAGAAGGTAATGATGTAATATGCCTAATACTAGATGGTAAAGTGTTCCATTCTACTGGCACAGCGTATGAAAAAGTCCTACCACCAAGAGTAGGTCGAAGTTTAGTCGGTGGAGGTGCTAATAAAAGCTCATTATTGGACCTAAGATTATAACCAGACTGCTTTTTGATAGAAATTAAATCAGATAAGTAACTAGGAGCGAGACCATGAATAGTCTTAAAAGCGAAAATAAGTATCTTAAAACGTATTCTAAATCTCACTGGTAGCCAGTGGAGATCAGCCAAGACAGGAGTAATATGCGAAAAGCGTGGAGTTAAAGACACTAAACGAGCGGCAGCATTCTGTATGCGTTGCAGTTTAGCTACTTGATAAGCAGGTAGCCCATAGTATAAGCTATTACAGTAATCTATGCGGCAAGTTATAAAAGCATTGACTAGAGTGGTGCAAGAATCAGGAGATAGGAATTTCCTGATCTTCCTAATGTTATATAGATAATAAAAAGAAGATTTGCATGTGCTTGCTATCTGCTTGTCTAAAGATAAGTTAGTGTCAAAGATAGTTCCAAGATTCCTGACAGAAGATGAGGGCTTGATTATTCCGAAGAAAATTGGAATTTCCAATTTCCAATGGGTAGGGAGGAGTCTTTAGAAAAATCCTCTGTGGGGAGGGGGTATGGATAATTTCTTAAGCTACCCAATAGTCCTTTTTACAGTTCTCAGCACCATCTTGAATGGTAGCCGTGCCTTTGCATTGAAGTGAGACGAACAGTGAGTGGGCAATGACAGAGACCTGTTTTTAACACCTTGGACAATTATTCACATGTCTCTAGCATTGCAAGCTCACCGTTCATCTTGCTTTGATGCAAAGACACGGCTACCTTTCAAGATGTGAAGGCGACTGTTATTTGAAAAAAAACATGCGATGTGAAGCAGAATAATCTATATAGGAGTGAGATATACCTAATATTTTCTCTTGATTCCCAGGTTTGTGGACAGTATGCAGCCAGGCACCATTTATATCACATTCTGCTTCATCTTGAGAATTGTGTCGGCAATTGGAGGATCAATGGCTGATGTCGCAATTTTTGCAATTGTTGCAGGAGCATTCCCCAAAAATCTGGGTGCTGTCATGGTAGGTTCATAATTGCTGACTATTATCTTATCATGAAATATTGAACCATATCTTAATTCTTTATATTGGAAGTTGTTGCCTAGTTAGTCTCCAATGAAAAGTAATATTAATTTATTAAAGGGGCACTTGGATGAAAACGCCCCAATTTTTGAAAGTCTGAATAATTGAAATATTTGAGGATAATATGACCCAATTATGACTATGTAATCATGATTAGTGAAAATTTTAGCCTGGGAGTCACTTGCAGATGAGAAATTGCTCTTTAAAAGCAAAAAGAACAATAGGGTTGAGTAAATGACGTCATTTACTCACGACTTAGATGCTGAATAAAATTGATAATTTTTATCCCCCACTTTTTACTGTGAAGAAAATATGTTGCTTGGATACTATCTGGGCCATATAGATAGGTTTCAACAAGTTTCAAGTCATTTCCAATTTTCATTGATTTTCATCCAAGTGCTCCTTTAAGGTGTTGTTTGCTACTTGGATAGTTAGTAAAGATGTAATTTATGTTTCTTCAAGCAAATTTTTCATGGAAAGGAACCCATGACTTTATGCTTACTAGTCAGATGCTGTAACCAACTAAGCTACTGGAACTCAGTTGAAAAAACATTATTTACATCTTTAGTAATAATTAATCGGAAAAACTAACGCAGATAGATTTTGACGTTTCGATGACATCCTGTCATCATCATCAAGAAACTAACTGAAAAAAAAATTTAATATTTAATTTTATTTATTAAATTTTTTTTTCAGTTAGTTTCTTGATAATGAAGACAGGATGTCATTGAAATGTCAAAATCTGTCTGCGTTAGTTTTTCTGATTAATTTAATACCAAAAGTCAATCTTATACGTATTTAGTAATAATCGTGTTAATTATACATTTTATAATTATTCGTTTTTCTTTGTATCTAAAGGGTGCAATGGAAACATTCTCTGGTCTTGGTTTCATGGCTGGACCACCTCTTGGTGGAGCTTTATATACTGTATGTAGTTTGTTAGTTACTCTTATCGTAATGATGTACATTTAATAATGATAATGATGACAATGATGATGATGGTGATGCTAATCATGGTAATAGTGGTGATGATGATGATGGTGATGCTACATGTAATCATGGAAATGGTGGTGGTGATGATGATAATGGTGATGATGGCGTTGTTTATTTTTCCATTCTCATTTTTCTTTCTTTGCTTTTTTATTTCCTTCCTTCCTACTTTCATTACTTCTTTCCTTCTTTTTTTCTTTCTCTCCCTTCTTTCCTTCCTTCCTTCCTTCCTTCCTTCCATCCTTCCATCCTTCCATCTTTCCTTCCCTATTTATTCCTTCCCATTTCCCATTTCATTTTGGTTTTTCTACCCTTCCATCTTTTTTTTAATTCTTCTTTCTTTCCTTTCCCTCCCTCCTATAACTGATCCCAGAAATTTCTGATGCCAAGTTACAAGATGATGTTGACATTGTTTTTGTTCTTCCAGTATGGCGGATTCAAGGTGCCATTCTTAACACTAGGAGGACTGGTTCTACTCACTTTACCACTAGTATTGTGTGTCTTGCCTATGCCAGATGGTATGTGCGTTTAACAACAAGTCATGATCATCATAATTAACCCTGTGATCAAGACACATTACACACACGCACGCACGCATGCACACACACACATACATACATACATACATACATACATACATACATACATACATACATACATACATACATAC